TGAAAATCTAGTGTCACCATGGGAGGAGTCATGGCCTCTTACCCAGTTCCCGAACTGAAGCCAGTTCACAGAGCCAGAACCTCCTGATCGAGGGGAAAGTCAGATACCTGTGAGGAAGAATCCTGAACTGCCACCCTAAAAAGCCTTCCCCAGAGGAACCTGAAGCCATTTAGAACAACGGCTGTCCTTGGAAAGGGCACAGAATTTCCTGGTCTTGTTAGATACTGGCTCTTAATTGACACTAACCTCTGAAGATCAAACTGTTCAAACTGTTACAGTTAGGAGGACCAGGCAGAAACCTCTAGAACACACCTTCACTCCCCCCAAAAAATTTCTGGAGAAAATGCAGAAATTGGCACCACCATAAAAGACTCAAAAGTTGTAGAGGTGGTGATTCTTGTTTTTCTGAAAAGCCAGATGGACTGTGGGGAATGACTGTAGACTATTGCAGATATAACGAGGTGGTGATGCCAATCAGAGCTGTAATTCCAGCTGTGGTATTTTTACTACAGCAAATCAACACAGTCCCTGGCATCTCCTGTACAGTTCTTGGCCTAGAAATGTTTCTTTTAAAATCTCTGTTAATAAAGATAATTAGTATCAGCCTTTGTGTGGCAGAGACACAGGATACCTTTACTGTCTTGCCTCACACCTCTTTTAGCAGAGACCAGACAGACCTGGATTTTCTTGCTATCCCATAGAACATCACACTGGTCCATTACACTGATGATACAGTGCTTTAGGATACAGGTGGTGCTTCAGTTCAGTAGCAAAAGGACAGACTTTTAAATAAGTGATGCGGGGACACCTGGTTATCCATCAAGAAGTAAAAATGGACTCCTGATTCAGGTGTAAACAAAACCTTTCCAGCTGCATTAAGAGTATAATTGTGTAAAGCAAAACTATAAAAATTTTCGCCTACATAGAAGTATCTTTATGGTCTTGAGACAAGAAAGAATTTTTAAAAACAACAAGGTACAAATAAAGTATAAACCATAAAGAATAAAATTCTACCTCATTAAAATCGAGAACTTCTGTTATTCAAAAGACCCCCTCACAAAGTGAAGACTACACACAAAAAAAAGGTCTGAAGAAAAAGAGAAATAAAACTACATGAAACACAAAACTTCTAAAAACAAAATTTTAAACTGGAAGATGATATTGGCAATGTAAGTAATAGAAAGGCTTATTAACATATATTTAAATGCTACAAAGTCAATTTAAGTGAACAAAAACACATAATTCAAAAGAAAAACAGGTTAAGGATATAAGGAGACAATCCGGATTATCTAACAGAAGAGGAAATAGAAATATCCAATTAGTACATGGAAGTATGCAGATTATACCTACTATGCAATGCAACATTTACCAAACGATAAAAAATAGAAGACTTGAAAAATATCAAGTGCTGGTGAAGGTGTGCATAAATAGGCACTCATATATAGCAAGCCAATGGAAATTGGTATTGATATTTTTAGGGGCTATTTGACAGTATTAATTAAAATGAAATCAGGCATACATTATGACCCAGGGATTCTATTTCTAAGAATCTTCTCTAAAGAAACACTCACATATGTGCACAAAGCTATTGACTGAAGCATTATTTGTAATAGTGGGAAAAAAACCCCAAGATTTCTATCAGCTGGGAAAGAAACTATAAAATCCAGGCATTACAGGAGTTTAAAAAATATATGGTAAATCTCTAAATACTGATATACACTGAAGGATTGCCAAGTGATATTGTTTTTAAAGTTTCAAAAATACAGAATAACGTTCTAAAACAACATAAAGTCAATTCTGCATACTTCTAAAGGTACGTGTATATATGTAAACACACAGAGAAAGGCCTGAAGAGTAACCAACAAATTGATAACAACAGTTAACTCTGGGGAGGGGACTGTGTTGGGGTAAGGAACAGTCAAAGGAGATTTTAGCTGTTTATACTGTTTGAATTTTAAAAAATAAGAGTATATTCATATATCATTTATATAATTTAAAAATAAAACATAAAATAATTATGATATAAGACTATAAATTCTATTTCTGGGGTATGGGCAAAGTCCTGTGGGACTACACTGAAAGGAAAAATTAGCTTAGAATGTAGAAAGATTTTATAGCAGTAGTGACGCTGGAGCTGGGCCTTGCTGTATGAACAGGATTTTGTTAAGCATTCATTATTTGGTGGAGAATTGTGGCAGACTGTATATCGCAAAGAAGACTGCACTAATACACATTCTACCCCATATGCTTTTTTCTTGTGACACTGCCACTTGTCCATGGAGAGGTGGGTGTCTAGGTCCCCTCCCCTCGAACTTTGGCAAGACTTTGCAATCGCCTTGAACTGAATGGGGAGGAAGTATCACAACATGACTTTTGAGATTATTCAGCCTCTGCCTGGTCCCTTCTTTCACAGGATGCTCAGCCTTGGAACCCAGCCACCATGCTATGAGGGAGCCCAAACTAGCCCAAGTGGAGAGACCACATAAAGAGGCTCATGTGGAGAGAAACTGAGACCCCCAGCTGGTAGTGAGCATCAGCTGCCAGACACAGAAGGGAATGAGACTTTAGATGATTCCTGGGCCCAGCCTTTGTGTTCTCGGGCTGAGGCCCAGATATACGTCATGGAACAGAGACAAGTCATCCCCACTGTGCCCTGTCCTAATTCCTGACCCAGAGAATCCATGAGCAGAATAAGTGGTTATTTTATGCCACAAAAGTTTTAGAGCAATGTGTTACACAGCTGAAGTAACCAGAACAAAGACATTCTAAGGAGAAGAAACTACACAAGTAACAGAATGTCACAAAGTATTGTGAATACCGGCAGTGTTGGGTGATGAGACCAAAAAGGTTGGCTGAGACCAGACTATGAAAAGTCTTATAAGACAGTACAAAAATGTACAGACTTACTGGCAGTGGAGAACTGTTGAAAGTTTTTAAGCTGGGAAAGTGAAATACTAAGATCAGCATTTGCAAGGTATTTCTGAGATCAGAGTGAAGGAAAGACCAGAGAAAAGAAAGACTTAAAAATAGGAAAAGCTCCTCCAGTTAAGAAGAATCGTAACCAAGTAAAATGGTAGAATATTGTTCAGTTGACATGTTTTGTGACTTTTTTCCTCTTAAGGGTTGCCTTTGATGCTCACTTATACTCAAATTCATACTGGTATTAAAATCTTGGCAGAGGGAAACTTAATGTCACACAAAAACCTGCACAAGGATATTTACAGCAGCTTTATTTATAATTACCAAAACTTGGACACAACCAAGATGTTCTTCAGTAGATGAATGGGTAAATACTCTAGTATGTCCTATTCAGCACTAAAAAAAAAATGAGCTATTAAGCCATGAAAAGACATGGAGGAACCTTAAATGTCTATTACTAAATGAAAGAAGCCAAGCTGTAAAGGTTACATACTGTATGATTCTAACTATATGACTTTCTGGAAAAGGCAAAACTATGAAGACAGTTAAAGTAATCAGTGGTTTCCAAGCATCAAGGGGGAGGGAGGAATGAACAGGCAGAGCACAGAGGATGTTTAGGACAGAGAAATATTCTGTGTGATATTATAATGGTGGATGCATGTCATTTCACATTTGTCAAAACCCAAAGAATGTACAACGCTAAGAGTGAACCCTAATGAAAACTCTGGTCTTTGGGTGACAAAAAAAAAGTGTTAATGTAGCTTCACCGACTGCAACAAACACACCACTCTGATGTGAGACACAGCCAGGGGGAGCTGTGCTCGTTTGGGGATAAGGGGTACATGGGGAAATCTCGGTACCTTCGTCTCAATTTTGCTGTGAACCTAAAACTGCTCCAAAAATAAAGTCTATATTTTAAACCTATTAGGGGCTGGAAATGTTAGGGGATATCAGAATACAAAAACATTTTCCTTACTGTTCTTCCGTCAAGCTTCTGGATCTGGATCAGTTTACATAAAGTGTATTCTAAGAAAACAAAGCAAGCTGCCTAAAACTACTTATAACCAATTATTCACATGAATAATGCCATCCCTGTACTACAAACATCACCATAACCCAAAATTTCTTGTTTCTGTGTCTATTAAAATATCCTCATCATTCTCACAACTGGCTTTAAAAGAAAACTGTATATATGTGAATTTGTAAAATAAATCTATATAATAAACTTCAGTTTTAATATTTTGGATATTGGGCCATATAAGGGGCACACTGAGGAGGCAAGGTCCAAAGAAGAGGGAGAAGATGACACTTGGAACATAAGGAGCCAACTCTGGGATAAGGGAAAGGCTGCCTGGATGAATATAAAAGTAAAGATTTACGAGGGGATAAAAGCTACTGAGAATGTTTTGTTCTCATCTTGGCTGATCTTTCATCCTATTTTCTGAGAAAACCAAGAGGCAGAATGCATTGGAAATTGAGTGTTCCTGGAGAACAGACAGGATGGAGTGGCCCGACAGTGGATCAATCAGATAGTGAGTAGCAGTAGAGCCCAGCTGGAATTTGATGGTGTAATTTATTGGAGGCAGTTTTGTATACTTTTATACTTTTATACTTTTTCTAATTATTCAAGAGGTGATTAGCCAATTTGGGGGATACCATGTGTCATGCTTTTTACACATTATCATCTAATGCTTGCTTCTGAAAAATACCATAACTTAAAACTCTTCATCAGACAAGATTAATACAAACAAGAAGAGGAACTCAAATTAAATTCTCTGCTTTTAAAAAATAATTTATAAAAGATTTAAGGTTTGTAGTTATTATTTCAACATGTTTTTAAATAAAACAATGAAGAAGAAAACAGAAAAACAGAGGAAAAATATTGAAACAAGCTGTAAAAATAAGGTTACAGGATCCCATGTGGGTTGAATTTATCCATGCCAGTCTTTCCCTCATTATCAAAGCTAAATTAAAGCCACTGTTGCTATATTTCACAACGTAAAATCTGATGAAAAACAATTCCTGCCCAGTGTTTCTCATTCATGTTTCTGAGTACACTTGTTATTCTTTAACCAATTTACCTGCATCCGAGAGGTTACAGTCTGTTGGCCCTTCTGACAACCACATAGTTGAAGAGATAATGGAAGTACGAACTGCTGGCAAAACTGGCTTTGGATTATCCTCATAAAATAACATCAGGTCCTTACAGAAAACAAGAGAGCACATGAAAGTAGAAAAAAATTAATCCCACTGCTTCAGTTTGTTACAATGTATGGACAATTTATGGAGATACAATGTGCCTATATGTACTAACATTATCATAAACACATTATGATTGAAAGACCTCCCACATAAGTTATCTATACACTTGTGTTTACTGAGCGCAGGGAGGTTTTCTACCCTTAAGAATACCCATTCCATTTGCATCAATGTGATTGGACCTAGATAATATTATGCTTAGTGAAATGTCAGACAGAGAAAGACAAATACTGTCTGTCACTTACATGTGGAATCTAAAAAACAATACAGGTTGAATGTATATTCAAACAGACTCAAGGTGAGGAGAGGGTATAGCTCAGTGGTAGAGTACATGCTTAGCTTGCACAAGGTTGGTTCAATCCCCAGTACCTTTGTTAAAAATAAATAAATAAACAAACCTAAATCCACACCCCCCCCCAAAACTAAAGTAAATAAATTTTTTAAAAAGATTCACAGATACAGAAAACAAACTGGTGGTTACCAAAAGGGAGAGGGGCAAATTAGGGACATGGAGTTAAGAGATATAAGCTACTATATATAAAATAGATAAGCAACAAGGATATATTAGATAGTGCAGGGAATTATAGCCATTATCTTGTAATAACTGTCAATGGAGTATAATCTGTAACAATACTGAATCACTGTGCTGTATACCTGAAATTAACATAGTATTGTAAATCAATGATACTTCAATTAAAATAAGTAATAAATAAAACCAAAATATACCTCTGACAAGTGAAAAAAAATCCTCACTCTTTGCTGTAGACACCAGGTATAGACAAGCAATGATTTCTTTTGGGGCATTAACTTTTCGCAGGGTACCCTTAGAAAAAACCATCTCAGAGGCCAATTACTCTGTTTTATTGGTAATAATAAAGCTACCTTTGTGTATCTTTCATCCATATTTTAAATTTTAAATTTTTTATAATGACAACAATCAATCTAATCATGTAGGTTAAACAACAGTCAACTCCTAGCCAGTCCTGTTACATCTGTATCTTTACCACCCTTCATCTGTTTTATTTTGAAGCAAATCTTATATCACTTATTTCAACATGTATCTCAAAATGGTAAGAACCCTTTAACATTAATAATTATTTTATACCTATAAACTTTACAATAACTCCTAAATATCATAATTATAAACTGTTCAGCTTTTCAGTTTAACGTGTCATAAATGTTTTTCTACAGCTTGTCTGAAAAGGATCCAAATAAAGTCTACACAGTGGGATTGGTTATGTCTTTTTTCCCCCATAAATGGGGGGTAATTTTTTACAGTACTTTATTGAGGTGTAATTAACATATAGCAAAATGCAAAACCTTCCATGAAAGATCAGTAACTTTGAATATTATGTGTACACTTAACATAACCACATTTCCTTCAGTCCAGAAAGTTCCTTCCAGTTGATACCCCCCACCACCAGAAGGCAGTATTCTCCCTTCTGTTACCATCACTGAGTTTGGTTGCTCTTGAATTTGATATCAATGTAACCATACACTACGTATTCTTTTATATCTGATTCCCATGACTTAACATAGTACTTGTGAGATTCACCCATATTTTATGTGTACCAGTAGTTCTTCTTTTTTGTAAGAAGGATTCCATTATATGAAAATACCACAGTTTGTTTTTCCATTCTCCTGCATATGGACATTTGGGTCGTTTCCAGATTTCAGCTATTATGAATAAAGCTACTATGAACATTCTTGTACAAATCTTTTTGTGGACAAATGCACTCATTACTCCTGGATATTTACACAGGAGTAGAATGGCTAGATCATAGGGTTGGTTTATTTTTAACTTCATTAGAAACTGTCAAACCATTTTCAAAGTGACTTGCCACTTTCTATAATCCAACTTTTATTCTGAAATCACTGTAGAGTCACATTCAGCTGTAAGAAATAATACAGAGAGACGTGTATCCTTAACCCAGTTTCCCCTAAAGGTAACCTCTTGCAAAATTATAACACAATATCATACCCAGGATACTGACATTGACACGGTCAAAATACAGAACATTTCTATCACCATCAGGATCCTTCCTGATGCCTTTTTATTACCATACCCTGCTCCCTGCAACTACTAATCTATTCTTCATTTCTGCAATTTTAACATTTAAAGAATGTTATATAAATGGAAACATACAGGTTGTAACCTTTTGGGGTTGGCTTTTTTCACCTGGCACAATCCCTGGAGATTCATCCAAGTTGTCGTATGTATCAATAACCTGTTCCTTTTTACTACCAAGTAGCATCCATGGTATAGATGTATCACAGTTTGTTTAACTAGTTATAGGCCATCTAGGCTGTTCCCAAAATTGGGCTATTACAAATAAAGCTGCTATGAAAACAGTATACAGATTTTTGAAAGAAAGTAAGTTTTCATCTTTCTGAGATAAATGTCTAAGAGCACAACTGCTGGGTCAAATGGTAGCTGCATGTTTAGTTTAAGAAACTGTCAAACTGTTTTCCAGAGTAGCTGCACCATTTTACATTCCCACCAGTAATATATGAGTGATCCAGTATCTCTGCATGATCACCAGCATCTGGTGGTGCCACTGTTTTTTATTTTAGCTATTTGATATTTCACTGAATGTTTAAATGGCATATTCCGAAAGGCTAATGATGTTGATGTTAGATGTAACTTTTTGTGTTCTTATTTGTTACCTGTATTTGCTGAAGTGACTGTTCATATGACTTGTCCATTTTCTAATCGGATTGTTTGGTTTTTAACTGTCAAGTCTTAAGACTTCTTTATATACTCCAGATATTGGTCCTTTGCTTCATATGTGTTTGGCAAATATCTTCTCCCAGTTACTAGCTTGTCTTTTCAAACTCTTAACAAGGTCTTTCACAGAGCAAAAGTTCTCAAATTGTCAAGAGGTCGGACATCATTTTTTTTTCTCTTAGAGATTGTGTTTTTGGCCAGCCCTAGACTTCCAAGATTTTTCTCAAATATTTTTCTTAAAGGTTTATAGTTTTGCATTTTATATTTAAGTCTGTGATCCATTTGGAATGAATTTCTGTATAAGGTTTAAGTTAAGATTCATGGTTTCGCTTATGAATGTTCAATTGCTCCAATATAATTTGACAGACAAAAAGGTTATCTTTCCTCCTTTGAATTTCTTTTGTACCTTTGTCAAAAATTGGTTGGGTATATTTGTGTGGGTCTATTTCTTGGTTCTATATTATGTTCCATTGACCTAAGTATCTATCTCTCTATACATACCACACTTTCTTGATTATCATAGCTATGCAGTAGGTTTTAATATCAGAGTGATTTCTCCCACTTTATTCTTTTTTTCTCCAAGATAGTTTTAGCTATTCTAGAGCCTGTGCCTATCTATATAAATTTTAGAATAAGCTTATTACCTATGTCTAAAACTTTGCTGAGACTTTGATTGGAAGTACATCAAACCTACAGAGTAATTATGGGCATATTTACTGACACATCTTTACTACATGGAGCCTTCCAATCCATAAACATGGTATGTCTTTTAATTGGGTGGTCTTTATTTTCTTTAATCAGTATTTTATCATTTTCAGCATACTTATCCTGTGCATGTTTTGTTATAATTATACCTAAGAATTTTACTCTGAGGGAGTGATTAGAAATGGTATATGTCTTAATTTCAGTTTCCACATGTTCACTGTTAGTATATAGAAATGTAATTGATTTATGTGTATTGATCTTATATCCTACAACTCTGTTGAATTCAGTTACTGGTTCTATGAGGTTTATTTGTGTCATTTCCTTAAGATTTTCTATGCAAACAATCATGTCACCTGTAAATAAGGACAGTTTTCTTTCTTCTTCTAAAATTGGCATGTGTTTTCTTTTTCTTGCTTTATTGCAGTGGCTAGAACTTTCTATACTATGCTGAATAAGAGTCCTTGCCTTGTTCCTGATTTGGGGGGAAATCATTCACTATTAATTATGATGCTAGCTGTAGGTTTTGAGTAGATGAGCTTTATCACTTTAAGGAAATTCCTTTCTATTTATAGTTTGCTGGGATTTTTTAAAAATTATAAACAGGTGTTGAAATTTGTCAAATGCTTTTCTGCACCAGTTAACATAATCCTAGAATTTTTCTTCTGTAATTTGTTGATACAATGAATTACACTGACTGACTTTCAAATGGATTAAAGCCATTTGGTTGTGGTATATAATTCTTTTTATACATTGTTGGATTCAACTGGAAAAGTATTTTTGAGGATTTCTGCATAATTTCATAAGAGATAATAATAATAGTCTGTATTTTCCTTATCTGGTATTGATATCAGGGTAGTACTTGCCTCATAAAATAAATTAGAAAGTGTTCCCTATTTTTAGGAAGACCTTGTATAAAACTCATGCTAATTCTTTAAATGTTATGGAATTCTCCAGTTAAACCATCTGGGCCCAGAAATTTTTTTTTCAGATTTGTATTACAAATTCAATTTTTGTAATGGTTATAAGACTGTTCAGGTTCTAGTTCATCTTGTTTGACTTTCAGTAGTTTGTGCTTTCTAAGAAATTGTTCTATTTCTTCTAAGTTGTCAAATTTACAAACATAAAGTTGTTGGTAGTAATTCTTTATTGTCCTTTTATGGATATAGGAACTGCACTGATATCTCATTTCATCCTGATATTGGTGATTTGGATCGTTTCTCTTTATCTTTGTCAGTACTGCTACAGGTTTATCAATTACATATTTTTCGAAGAAGTGGCTTTTTGTATCATTCATCTTCTCTGTTGACAGTTTTCTTGTTTTCAGTTTCATTGATTTCTGCTTTTTATTATTTCCTTTCTTCTGTTTCCTATCATTTTATTTTGCTTTTCTTAGTTTTTTGAAGAAGGATCTTAGATTATTGATTTTATACCTTTTATCTTTTTTTAAAAAGTTATATTCCTCTTTTCTTATGTAAGCTTTAAGTCTATAAACTTTCTTCTCACCTCTACT